AACTTTGGCATTAGATCAACGGAGAACAGATTCGTGAGGATTAATTTAAGGTCCATTTGTAGTGGAATGTTCTTGTTTTGTTTAATTTAAGATGTTCAATCATGATAATGCAATCAATAAACAATGGAGTAATCACCACTTATTCCACTTGAATGGTCCTCCTCTCGGCTGCTATTATCTTATTCCACTTGGAGGAGGAGCCCTCAGACAATAAATGACTTCTTGACTCCATAGTAACACCACAAAGATATGGGACAGACGTATGGTTTTATGTTAGGATAAATGAATATATATAATTTTAAGTATATGAAAACTTATAAAATTTTGAAAGGGCGAACACATATTTTCAATATAAAATCAAAGAAAATATTTAAAATATATAGGAATTTAAAACTTTTAAGGGAGCGATCAGCCCCACTCACCCCCTCTAGGTTCATTCCTGACAAAGACAACACATATCATTTGTGACCATCCCAAATCGAGTGAATCTATTCTTTGTGAGTAATCTATCTAAAACGATCATCCAAACTGTAATGAAATGAGAGAAAAAAAATCAAATAAGCCGATCACACTTTACCTTATCCTTCAAAATTTTGGTGTTGTCCCAACTCCACTTTGGTATTACTTTTATTTTTAACAAATATATAATTAAAAAAAATGGAGTGTCACTTTAACACCCTCAACAAAAGGTGAATATTCCCTTAATAAAATGCGAGAATATATATTATGTTAAAAAAAATTGGAGTGCCACTTTTATTTTATTATATATATATAGTTTCATTTTCTGGTACGTTTACAATTTAGGATAAAATGTCATTTTCAAGGCTTGACCCATGGCCTTTGAGGTGTCGATATAAAATTTCAAACATTGACTTAAATATTTATATAATATGATTGTCATAGAAAATGAAGATTAAAGGATTACAAAATGATAATACATATATCTATTAAAAAAATCTTAAGCAAGAAAAATCATAAATCAAAAAAAGTAATTTTTTATAATCAATAATAAATTACAATAAGATTATACGAGAATATATTACCCATCGATACATTTATATAATTTTTATGGATACAATATTTCGAGTCATTATTTTTCTCTTAATTTTGAGAGAGATGTGAGTTGGTTCAAAATAAAATAGAAATATGAATTAATTCAAAATGTGTATTTTCTAAGCCATCCAAAAATCTAATATCTGATACGATCGAATCTATGTTTAAATTGACCGATGATCAATCGTTTTGATATTAGTATGATCTGAATATTGTGTTTAATAGGCCGAATATAAGCGGTCGAAAATTCTTATGTTTGGGCTTGGCTCCGAATATGGGTAAGGAACCCAAACCAAACTACAATTGTTTCATAATTCTTAGTTTTCAGTTGGAATTGGCATTGCATCAGCCAAGATCTCTCCAAAGTACATGTAAATAACGAAATCCTATTATGTCTGAAAACCCCAAACCCTACAAAGCCCCCTCAAAACACCGAAGAGAAAGAAACTAAATCGGACGGAACCTTAAACAATGGAAAATGATACAAAGCTAAGCATATACAGAGCATCAAGGACGATAAAACGCAAAGACAACACTCTCTACAACGCACTTAAATCAATTTACGACGACTCAATCTTCGTCGGTGAAATCTCCCAGCTATGGCCTCAACTCCCTCTCGTCGCAAACCTTCGTTGTGGTCTCTGGTATTCTCCCAAATTTTACTCCACTTGTTACTTTAAATCCACCGACGGTCATACCAATAATTGGTCTTTCAATACCTCCCGTCTCAACTTCCACATCGCCCTTCTCGCTGGTAAAATCCTCATTTTCTCTTTCTTTTTATTTTATTTGAAACGTTTTTTTTTTTAATTTTAGGTTTCTTTTGTTTTTTGCTTTTTATTGGTAGGACAGAAGGGAGGGTGCTTTATAGTTGATTCGACGCGGAGGGGGAAGCGGTTTCCTGATAGTATGTCCAAAACTATACCTATTTGGACGTGTGTTTTGAATCGCACCATTTTTAATTATTTGAACAAGTTGTCTAATGATGATTCATCTTTGGTGGAGCGGGTGAGTGCTGCTAATGATCTCTGTTCAAAGTTTCTTAATTTTATCCAGTTTCATCGTTTTCAATCTTTTTTTTTAATGTGTTTAATGTTAATTGAAGCTCTTTACCTTTCATAATTACCCAAATCAATTGCTATTTTCTCATCCCTGCCTCAATTTATCGATTTTCCTCAATTTGTGTCTTCTTACTTGCTTATTTTTATGTAGGATTCAGATACATGGCGCAATTCTGTTGATTGGGATTGTTCATTGCACCTTCCCCTTTGGGTTTCCGATACGGAGAAGGCAGTAATCGAGGACCGGTTAGAAGGATGGACCAAAGACCTGGAAGCAAGTGGAGCTGATATTGCATCGCTTGCATTGTGCTTGAAGAAGCCTTTGCGGCCTTTATGGATTTCTCAGAGAACTGTCATCTGGATAAATGAAGTGCCAGATTATGATTCTTGGGATTTCACACCGATAATTCTTGTTTCCACCTCTTCCTTGAGCGGAGTAATTCAACACAGGATGACCTCAGAGTTTAGCTGGAACTATATACCAGGAGCTGGAGATGATGAAGAAAGTTGGGCTAGGGGCTTGTCTCCTAATCTCTTCTGGAGCCATGCTTATGATCTTATTAGCGCAGGACCAGATTTTTGTAACCAGAAAGTTGCTGATATAGTTGAAAAGGATAGAAGAGTATATCGAGCTCAAAGGGGACAGAATGCTCCTCAGATCACTGCCAAACCCTCAGTCTCTGGGAGCTCACCTAATCTTCCTTGTTTAGAGCCCCTATTGTGTTCAGATCTTTCTAGCCTCACGATGAACTCCTCCGAAAAAGATTGTGGAATATTCTGGCTCGGATCTACTAATCTTGCGATTGGTGCATCTCAAGTTGGTATGATGTATTAGCAATTCTATTGCTTCTTTAATTTTGTTTTAAGATTTTATTTTTCTATTTTTCTTTTATATTGTGGACACTACCTGCTAATTTTCTCCTTTGACTAAGTTTGTGAAAAGAAACAGTGGAAGATACCCACATAAACACTAAAATTAAACGGATAGGTGATTTATTCTGTCTTCCTATCGTATAAATTTATTTCAATCACTTGTTTTAGTCTTCTCCCGATATGAGATTATGTGAGACAAATAAGAACATTGAATTATTTGACTAGTGGAGGAATTGATTGTATGTAATGATCGTGATGATGGAGGTGTGCCTAAGTTGAGGCAATGGTGGTCGTGGTGTATGTTTAGAACCATATATTTGTTACTTGTTCGTTTCTCTTGCGATCCTTTATATTTATGACAATTAGGTAGTAGTTTTTTTGTGTAATTTTCGTGTTCCTTATGCATTGTTTTGATTATGTTGTGCAGCTGCACATGCATCTAACGTTGATTGCATATTAAATTGTGATCAATGGTCAATCTCTGTCCATCATCAAGAGGCTGAAGCATATCTGTCTCTTCCTATTGTGGTATGTGTGCAAGTAAACTGAAACATGAGTTTGCTAATTATAAATTTTTTACATTTCCTGCTTACTCTCTTCCTCTTTCTTTTGCTGACCAGAATTCGAAGATGGACCGGTTTTGTTTGTTTGATAACCTTTCTTCTGCGGTTACCTTTGCAAACTCAAATCTTACAAAAGGAAGTAAACTTCTTATATGTTGCCACGATGGTAAACCTCACGTACCATATTGCTAATTTAACTACCATTTATCTTCTCATCCATCTTCGGGTATTTAATAGCACTGAACATGCATTTGTTTTCAGGGGAAGATATCAGTGTATGCGTTTGTCTGGCAATCTTGATATCATTGTTTGACAATGAAGGTATGCAATCTTAAGACTAACTTCCCGTGACCATACTTTTATCGAATCCTTAATGCCTGAGAAAATAGATGTAATCTCTTTCCCCCCGATAAGATGCTATATGAGTTTGCTTCTTTTATCGACTTGTTGGATAGTTTCTCAAGCTTCGCTTTTCCCTTTTTAGGTTCTTTCGACGGTGGAAAATCCTTCGGCGAGACCGGTATCACAAAATGTGAGATGCGGCGACAACTTGTATATATTTGTAAATTTGCGATAAAAGCCCGGCCATCCAGGGGAAACCTCAAACAAGTTTTCGCTTTTCTTAATAGCGGAAAAGCCACCTGCGTTTGGAGACATTTCACCTCTTTATTGTGAAATGGTGATGGGAATTATTATCCAAATACAGCGCTCAGTAGAGCAGAAAGATCTTTGGCGAAAACTAAATTTTGCACTCTTGTCAACTTATTCGTATGTTAATTTAACTAATCTTTATATTTAGAGATGACATTGATTGTGCTCGGAATTCTGAATGAATTTGATATGGATTGAGGATAGAGATGCACATAGCCGGATTTAAATTCGATCCGGATTAGATAAAAATCGATCCGGTTTTTTCACTAAGCCAAAAAATCGGTTTATAAAAAAACCAGTTCGGATCATAACCAGTTTGGAGGGCCGGATGATGTAACTGGTATAACCGGTTTCGGTTTGAAAAAAACCGGTTTTTTAAAAAAATTGGTTTTTAATCCGGTAAAAAATTCGGTTATCCAATTTTTTAAACTCCAGATCGGATTTTTTTTCCGGATAAAAAATCAGTTTTTTATCCTATTTTTTTCAAATCGGTTTTTAATCCGGTAAAAAATTAGGTCGTCTAATTTTTTCCTAAATCGGTTATACTATCCGGTTTTAAAATATCAGATCCGGTTTAAAAAAAACCGATTTTTCTCAAATCCGGTTTTGGATATTTTTTGCACAAAATCGGATATTCGAATTTTTTGTGCACCTCTAATTGAGGATATGTATGTTCTTATATTAATTTTATAATTGAATTTGTTTACATCAAAAAATAAATATTTTTAATTTACTCAAAACCTCAGGCTCAAGTGAAGTGATTGCAGATGAGGTAATTGGGGGCTTGGGGCTAGAAACTAAATGAAGTTACGAGCGAACACTTGAATTACATGTTGCCTCAATGAATTGGTAAAGCAAATTACAAACAAGTAGAAGCTATAAAGATAATGGTACAAGCCCTTGTTGTCAGCATGATAATACAACTATGGAATACAAGTGTGGCAGCTTTCAGTTCACTAGTTTGTTAATCAAATACTCTCAGTATGCGAATCACCCACAAAACTGGGGTCACTTTCATAATATCTGCCTATCAGCTCTGGCTGCACAAACTAATTGATCTTATCAAAAATTTGTTACCATTTTATTCAGCACCAACCGAAAGCACAAGCAAGGCCAATCACTCTGCGCAAACATGTTCTTAGCCAGAAAGTTTACAGGAGATCCCTTTCCACCTTGCTTATTCAAACTCCCGTGGATTTAAAGGTTATCGTCTAATTCATCCGGTACATGTAACTTCTCAATGGCAGCCTGTTTAGAATATCAAAGGAGAGCAAGGTTGTAATAAACAAAGATACAGACCAGCACTTCACTATGGTGACAAGTTGATGCTGGAAACAGACTATTATTTTTGTAGATAATAAAGGCAAAGACTGAATATAAGTTGATACCTTAATTGTAGCAACATCGATTGCAGATGGTTTCAAATCCAAAGCAATACCAAAATGAAGCATGGCCTTTTCATGCATGTTACGCCGCTTAAAGATTTTACCCATCAAAGCATGCACACTGCTTTCATGAGGGGCATACTCTTTAAGATCCTCCAGAACTTCTAAAGCATCATCAAATTTCTCCAAGCTCATCAGTATATTAGCCTTTTGATACATGGGAAGAGGGTTCTTCTTATCTGCCAGAATGGCCCTGTCCATTATCTCGATAGCATCCTCACTTTTCTATAAAATGATTGCAATAAAAGTTCAAAACACTCTTCAAGATGATATTGTTTTAAGTTGAGACGAAATACAAGCATGGAAAGTAGCCTGACCTTTAAGGCATGAAGAGCAGTTCCAAGAAAAGACATTATAACAGAAGAGCGTGGATTTATTTGGAAAGCCATTCCAAAGTGATGCTCTGAAAACTCAAACTTCTCTTGACGAAGATAGATCATTCCCAGACCATACCAGGCATTATAATGCCTATAATCAATACAGAGTGCATTCTGGTAGCTCTTGATTCCATTCTCAAAATCCTCTAAAGCAACATATCTGCATATAGTAATGTAATGGTAGAAGTTTTAATGAACAAATGTTGTTATCAGCATGTTTAACACAGGAAAAAGGTATGTGAAAACTTACTCATGACCGCAAAGGGTGTGCGCATATGCAAATCTTGGATTCAGTTGCACAGCTCGTTGGAAATTTTTCAGAGAAGTTTCGTGGTCTTTCTGCAAGCTGTAACAGTTTCCCACGGCACACCTGCAATTTAATTCAAATATGACAACAGAAAAATGATAACTAATTGATTATAAGAACTCCCGCAATGGCAGCCTCTAAACTCTTGCTAAGAAGCATAAACCTAGACACTATTAAAAACGGCAGGCAGGTAGAATATAATCTCAGGCAAATAGCAAGTTTCAAGGAACATAGGGTAATGAAATTGGTCAGATTTACAAAAAGTTCAATAAATCTACCATGATTGAGGAGCTAAGCGGTCAGTTGATATCAGTTCTTGGGCTAAGTAACTCAACTTCATATCTTCCTTTAAATGCTGCAAGAAATAATAGCCATCAGCAAAGAAATTTACCGTAAAAATAGAGGGTCTGGATGAGAAAACTTCACATACTCTAAAACCTTCACAAGTGGAACTCACATATAGAACAGTGGAGTAAACATCCATTCCTTCCAAACTGTAGGGAGACACCCGACGGGCAAGACTAAATGCTTGTTCAGCTTCCAAGTAATCCACCAATTCGAAATGAGCTTTTCCAACCTGCATTGGATTTTAAAAAAACACTTTAAAGAGACCGTGGAAATATGGAATGAATAGGTACTGATTTGCTCTTACACACATAAATGCAACTTTCAAGCATACCTAAATCCTTCAGTTTGTAAAGTATTTCAAATCAAATACATAAAATGTGAAAAACTATAACTGCAGAAATACAGCATGCAAAACTCTTTCTATGACCTCGTTGTTAAAAAGGATGCAATAAGACTGCTAGTTTAACCTGGTATGAGATTACACAAAACAGAAGAAGAAAACAGAATGTGTTGCACCAGATGTATTACCTGGGACATCACCCAGCCTGTATTATAATGCTTATGTGGAAGTCTCAAATAGGTATCCAATGCATCCTGTAGGAAAGAAAGAGTTATCAAGAGCATTGAACATTGCCCAGAGATATGAATTCAACTTTTCTTTCTTTCAGATAAACATATAATCACCTGACATCTGTACAGGCAAGAAAGTCTGTAGCCTTCCCCAAGGGTTCTTAAAAGGCATAATACTTCTGAAGCACCACTTATGACTTTTGAACCACTAATAACAACCCCACCAACCAGAACAGTTGCCCCATCTTGGCCATGAGATCTAACATCACCAGAAGAAACTGAACTAGAAGTCACTGGCACCATATTTGCCCGAGCATCATCAACTGCCTCAGTCCTTAACCCTAAACAACATTAGAATTCAAACTTTCTAAGCATCAGAGCAGAAATTTCAAAACTCAGTTCAATCAAATAATTGTCACAATTAGATTCCCAAACGGAACACATGAAACAAGTTAACCTTATTACCATTGTGCCCATCAGTCATAAATCAACTAATAACAATTGCAAATGGGAGTGTTTATTAAAGAACTTGTCAAAAAAATGAAGTGCAGATATCAGAGAATCAGCGACGAATAATAAGACTATAACCTTCTTCAATATTTTCATTCGCTCGTGACTGTCCCTTACGAAGAGCCACAGAACTCAACTTAGAACTTCCAAGGTACTTAGAAGAATTATTAGTCCCATTTCCAGCAACGACTGAGGCATTTGCATTCGTGTTTGCCCGAGAATCTCCAGAGAGTCTTGTACTCCGACGGGGACCAGAATTAGAGAACAGCCTCCCAGAAATCTGACAACAAATAAGGATCAACAAACTGTTAAAATAATGCCATCCAACCCAAATACTTTCTGAAGAGAATCAAATGTCAAAGCCAACTAGCATGATACTGTTAATTTACAGAACAGACAGCATGCATGAATGTCCTCTATAGCTCAAAATCAAACAGTTCTTTCTGGTTAGAAACATTCAAAGCAGGTAGAACTATATGCAAACATATACATATTGATGACTAAGAACTATGAAATCCACACATACAAAGTTACAAACCAAAACTCTAAACTCTAACAATGCATTAGAAAGGAATAATAAATTTACAACCACTTTTACCTTTCGTAATTTTCCTTCATCAACAAACTTTCTTCTAGGTGCTTGAATGGTAGTGTTCACAACTGACCTTGGAGAACCATCAGTATTACCCTTGTTGAGGTTGGAACCATTTGGCTGCACATTCCTACACAAGGGTGGAGGAGCTACACCTGACAACTACAAGAAACAGAATTTCAGGCTGGTTGCCCATAATCAGACGGAAAAGATTAAACAAACTATATAACCTCAATTCATCCATCTTAAGTACCAAACTAATCAAAACATAAAACTCTACACAAAATTGAGATTCAATATGTTGCATTTCACATCTTACCTGTGAAGCCATTGGTGAAGGAGTATTATAAAATGGTGAAGGACCATCATTTTGGGGCTGAGAAGCAGCTCCACTCGACACAGCTGCTCCATGATTATTACCAAGAATATCTCTATAGCTATTTCCTTGTGTGTGTTTGACTTGCCTGGGACAGGCATCTTCAGAAGCAAAGTTCCGCGAAGAAACCAAATTATAATCCTCACTGGAAATTTGCAGGGTAGCTTCCCCTTGATGTAAGTACTGCTTTTGAATACAAAGAGCAGCTGCTTCACCAAAAACTGCAGTTGCTTCTTCAGCAGCACCTAAAATAATCAGACACGAAAGAATATAAATATGAATGAATATATGAGAACAAGCACTAAATGGTACTAGAACAGGAACACATGAAAAATGAAATATTGAGTGAAACAAAATCAAGCCAAGCAAAAACAAACTGCTGAGCCATTTAAGTGGCATAGTATTCCTAAGTCCAACAGCAGTAGAAGAGTCGAAACTTAATTAAACTTGTTAACTCAAAAATTAGTGAGATCAAGGATCTGATCAGCCTAGAATGGTAGGATAGCACTAAAAAGAATACAGAACCATAAGAGTATTTTTTTAGACAAACCTAATACACTCAACTCCTCGTATGCAGCCCAAAGTAAAGGATCTATTGATAAAGCCAGCCTAAAATGATGAATGGCACTTTTCTTTCTATCTGTGTACCTGAAAAAGAGACAATGCCAAATTTAGGGATCAGAACTATTAGAAAATTGAATCCACCATAGCAGTGATTAGAAAGGGCAAATAAAAGCATTAAGGATTAGATTCCTTCATTATAGAGGATCAAATCAATATTGAGTCTCAATGTCCACCAAACAGTGTATTAAGCAACATTATATAAAAGAAAAAAGCAATCGACAGCCTTCAACACAAAGCCATAAACATCCTTCCCATTTTATCAAGTCATCTTAGGAGAAAATTCTAGGCAGAGTCGAAGTATATTTCTGCAAAAAGCTGGAATTTTTTCTCCTCAAATTCTGTCATATCTTCCATAGTTAATGAAGAAATAACCCAGCTGACCTGTAAATAAGTCCAAGAAGATAATGACCAGCTGCACCATTTGGGATCTGTACATAAAGCAAAAGGAATTAACTAGATATTGTCATCCCAATAATATTGTGAAAGCCTCAAAAAACTCATGTGACCCGTCACCCAATACCTCTCCACCAGGCTCATTAGCATGACATAAAGCTGTTTCGGCTTCACTAAGTAGATCCATCTGAAAGCATGATATTGCAAACAGGTAGCGGGATTGTGCAGTTTGTGTTCCTTCACATAACGGGAAAAAAACTTTAGATTAACAACAGAAGAACAAACTAGTCATTATATGGAAAAAGGCTTTGAGTAAATACACCGAAGCAGCTTAAGACAAGGTAATACGCATACCCTTTAGAATATGATAGGCAGAGTAAGCTTGATTGTTCTGCAAGTAGCAAGCAGCTAGCAACTGCAAGTTCACCTGCATATATGCCAAACGGTGATATCTTAGTTAACTATGTACGGTAAAAGAACCACCACTTAAAAATAAAAATAGTTTGCCCAATTTAGAATCTTAATGTCATTAATTTCTCAAATTTCACTACCACAAATCTATGTTCTCTAAAAAAAATGAAGGGAGCACTGAAGCCCAAATCAAAACTAATGCATCCTGAAATAGTTTCCAAAGTCGCATAGAAATTTGAAACATAAACCAAATCAGAAACTAAAGATTATACATACCGTAAAGTAAGCACTAAAATAGTATAACCCGAAGGGGAAAATAAATTAAATTTAAAAATCAATTAATCGCCAAGGAATGATAGAAGTGACAGCACAGTCGATCTCGAAAATCCAACGAATAGTTTTAATTTTCCCCCTTTTTTGCAATCAATTTTAGAAACCCGGAAGTGTGAAACTTCTTACTAGAAACCAGAAAATATTCCCAGCTTCTTATTTTCCTCACGGAGAAAATGCTTGAAAAAAAAAGAAGAAAGGAAAAAGATCAATTTTTCAAAAAGAAAAAAAAACCAGGTGAGTGAGTTACCTCGGAAGGGAACTCAGCGAAGAGGCGTTCGCAAAGGAAGATGGCGTTTTTGAACATGAAAAGGCGGAGACTGTTTTGAACACGTTCTGTGAGTATCGCTTCCATGGCTTCCTATTTTGGTTGCCCAAAAACATAGAAACAACAGGAAATATGGAGGGAGAGAGAGAGAGGTTTTCTGGTTGCCGATACCGGGGTTCTCTTTACTTTAGGTTTCAAAATTTCGTGCGGCATTTGTTGTCTTCTCTTTCAAATTCAGTTCCCACGTGACATTGTTTTGGGTAATTATCCGTTGCGGCACATACCTATTCAGTCTATAGTGGAAACCGGGAATAAATTTTTGTTCCAAATTTCAATAAATAAATAAAAAATCTACAATTTTTTTGAGTTTTTAATCAATCTTTACTTGGAACTTTAGTATGAAATGGTTTATATCAATCATGGTTAACTAAATACTTCTAAAATGATTTAATACCTATAACACTTTATATTAATTATTGAAACTGTTTTTACAAAAATTTTAAAGATTCAAAATTTGAAAATTTTAATTTAAAAAAACTATACTTGTAAATACGCTTTCCATACCAACTCATTGAGGCAGAACAAGAAGATATCAGTTTTTTTCAGTAAGTTACCAGACCTTTCGATACTTGTATGTATCCTGCAATTTTGGGATTTCAATTGTGGCCACAAAAACCTCACACTGTTTCTTCCACCAAATGCATTGCCTTCTAATGTTTCATACCCAACTCCACGTGAAGCAGAATATGGTTGTGATGTTGAAGAACGCAGCATCTTCAAACTTCCCAAGCACCAGAATAATGTTCTCTCGGAAGTGCTCTAATTGTTGACCTAAGAGCATATGCATATCCATTATTCTTAATTAGTTGTCCCTGCAAGTGCACCAGGTTAAGGTCTACATTTAGAATCCAACCAAAGCTTGATCTAACAAGTGTCTCCACCGTAGGAATTTTGCTGGAAATGTAATGCCTACGGCTTGACAAACTTGGAAAGGTACATGAATCCACTCAAGCAGCGTACAAATTATACCTAAGAGTTGCATAATTTCACTCAACTTTTCACTCGAAAAAAAATTTGCAAAGAGTTTCTTTGGCAAGTTTTATGTCTTCTTAAGGAACTTAGGTGTTGTCTCATCATTCCGATACTCGCAAGAGTGTGTTCGGTTCGGTTGGAGTCCACTGACCGGAGGAATGGAAGTCTGTATTTAGCAGAAGAAGCATAAGTCTCCAGAGTCATATGTTTGGATTGCTCAATCAGGCTGTCAGAATCAGTATGAAATAATGGGAGGATGGCTTTGACCATGGTGGAAAACTTTTATATTAAATCAGCTGGAAGTTCATCGCCATTGGAACAAAAAAAAAATCACACAAGTACTTGATATCATTTGATATTGTTTCATAATATTGCACACCAAAGCACGAGCAGGGCTTCCAGCGAGTAAACCAAGCTTAATGATATAACTCATATGTAGGGTCATTACGCGAAATTGTTGAAAACTTGTGTGACCCCTAGACCCAGCCTATGTTTTACGATCATATCTAGGGAATTACAATAAAAATTTTCAAGATAATTATCACTTTAAAAATCATATCTTCTTTAAAAACATAATTATAATGGTAAAACTCAAATAAGGTGATAAAAACATGAAATATTACAAGTTAAATAAAATACCATTAATTAGTATCAATATAGTCCATATATCATAGGTGAAATAAAATAAATCAAAAACCAGTATATCAAAATAATAGGCCCATGTCACCAAAATAATGGCAAACATTACAACAAAATTATACTAATGAATGTGTCGATCCATGAATGTGTCGATCCTCCAAGTGTCAGGTTCGGGTCACCTATCAAATAGTATCTGAAAGGGAAAAGTTTGGGTGTAACACCCCAACCCATACCCGACCCGGATACGAGTCCGAGGTGTCACATTGACTTTTCAAACTTTGACTCTTATAGAAAAAAATAGGGAAATTTAAAACTTTTATAACATTAAAACTTATTCAAAACGTTTACAAAACTATTCAGAGCTTATACAATATATATATTCTTTTGATTACATGCCAACTAGAACTTTATTTATTAAAATACGTATTATTCACCTCTTTTCTGATCTGACATTTGGTAAGGAGAACTGACCTGTCTTGCTCCACATTGCTCGTTACTCTTCTCGAAACCTACGTGTGAAACAATCACACGCTAAGTCGTTGACTTAGTGAGGCATATAAACATGTAATACAACTATAATTCATATCAAATGCATGAGCAATTAGTATTACAATCATATCATATAAAAGCACATATATATAATTTCTGCAACATGTACACACATGCACATATATCATTATCAACACATTTAACATTTCTCATTCACTATCATTAATCTTTATAATTTAACACTCTTATATAAACATTTGTCTTTACCATATCATGCATTAACCAAGCAATACACCATTATGTAAATCATGTAATCTATTCCATATAACAAGTCACATATACATATCACATTTAGTATACTTGTTTACTCTCTTTATTAACTCATGTACACTATTGAGAACTTAAGGTATGTGAGTACATTGAGGTTGTGCACACATATGCTGTCACCACAGCTCGATCAATGTCCCGCAGGACCTATCCAGAGGTCATAAAGATCCTCGGCAACTGTCCATAGGTTCCGAAGAACCGAGGTGAACTGTCCATATGTTCCTTAGAACATAGGTATACTGTCCATATGTCTCGAAAGACATAGGTAATTCTGTCCATATGTTCCGTAGAACATAGGTACCCTCGACTCTTGGCATGCCAACTATACCCCTAGCTCTCATGACACATAACATGGGCATTATCTTTTATATCATTTTTCATATTCATGTAACCATATCATATATTCATATAAGCTCATGGTTTCATTCACATATACATGTAATCACGTAGTTCATGTCAATTCTCATATGAGCTCATATTCATATAAACATAGGATTCACCCTCATGTATCACATAAACATATCATCTTACAATACATGCAACACATCAATATCTATATTCACATATACCTATCATTTCATTATCCTTATTATTATTCTTATCATCACCATTAATCCCTTTCACTTACCATATTTATATCAATAACACATATACTCATGCGCACATATAATTCATAACAAATACATACTTCTATGAATTCATGTTTTTCACTATTGGAAATAGACTTATCACAAGTCTTATTTTCCCTTGAACCTCATATACTATAGAATGTGCACTCACCTTAGCTTTGCTTTGATTCGATTCTAATCCTTCAGTTGATTCGGAACGGGATCACGTTATATATCTACATAATCATACATAGATCTATATCAGTATCATAACTAATATACTCTAATGGTTCACTCTTTAGACTAAGAGAAAAGGCAATTTCATCTTTTAATGAAGGAATGCATCGATGCACTACTGATGCATCGGTGCATAAAATGCATTCGATGTTTGTTTATTACTGGGATGCATCGATGCATGCCCTATGCATCGATGCACTAATTGCATTCGATGTTTCCTTATTAATGGGATGCATCGATGCACTACTTATGCATTGATGCACGAATTGCATTCGATGTATTTATTTTAAAAGAGTGCATCGATGCACTACCAATGCATCGATACACCTTCAAACAATTTCTGGGTTTTAACATTGATGCATCGGTGCACTATGAATATGCATCGATGCACTCTGCCCAGAACCTCTTTTTGAACCCAAAAATTCCTTCTTTTTGGATTAAATCCTTCATATTTCAACCCCTTTCATATTCCTAACTTTCATATACATACTTAAACTCATTAATATTAATTTATCTCATCTTTAACCTCTAAATTCCATCTTTCATATGGAAATTCAAGAATCATACTCAATTTCTAACATGTTCCAAATTCTATTCAATTGCTTCTAACTTCTTAATTAGACCCTTGACAAGTCAAATCCAACTTTAGAACTTCAAAAGCCTTTCTATAACAAAAGTTCATTTATAAACCCTTAATAGAAATTCCTTTATAATTCTCTCTCTTTGGTGTTTTAAACTTATATAAGCTTTCCTTAAGCTTATATAACCCTCAAAGACTCAAATCCAACTTAAAACTTTCAAGAAATCAAAAGCTAAATCAAACTTACCTTTGCTCTTGGCTTCCACGTAAAGAAGAAGAAGAAAGGAGAAGAGCACTCTGGAGAATTATCTCCCTTTCCACGTGTATTTATCCTTACCAATCCCATTTTAATTCATTTCTTGGTCAATTGACCTTTTCGCCATTTATTTCCTTTAATAATTACTAAATAACCTTCAACATATATATGCAATAATCATTGAACTATTTCATTCTTCTACTTTAGTCATCAAATTCTGAAACTTTACAATTTGGTCACTAACCCATAATTTGGGATGTTACAAATCTCCCCTCCTTTTAAAAAAATTCGTCCTCGAATTTTCACTGCACATCCTAAGAATAACATATCTTCTAACGTTCTCATGCTACTTTCTGAACTTAATCTTTTGTATCATCTTTAATAATTTGGTTCTTATCTTTTCAATTATTCGACTACCTTTTTACTTTATATCTCCTATCATGTCACTTATCAGATAGACAATAACATTAATTCTTATTACTCAAACTCATAAATCAATCAAATTCCTTGTCAATCTTCAATTGTCTTTCAATAATAACCAAACTTTTATTTCATCCTTACTTGACTGACTCCAAAACTTCCTTAATACATATAAATCTTTATTCATTTCTCTGACTACATCCACTTGACCAAGAAACATAACCTTAAATCTTCATCATAACTGATTAAACATACACTTTGCATAACTAAACAATTTCTCATATTACCTGACATACCTTTCTTACTTCTGGTTAAACTTATAACCTATATCTCAACATAATCTTTATCACATCTAATTCTTTAAACTTCATCCTTTCATTTTCTTCATAACTCAAAATATTTTTATACACCAATCATATATTTCTTTCATGTTCACATACTCTTTTCCTATCACTTAAACTTATCTCTGATTACCAGACTTTATTATATCTTTATAACTTTACTAATCAACTTCACTTATATAGAACCTCATTTTTATCGTATCTTGCTTGTATTTATTTATTTTTTCAAAAATTTCTTTAAAACACATAAAT